GTATTAAGTGCAATCCAGACAAAACACCTATCGTTGTGGCCAAAGTGGAGGAAAGGGTTGAAATCCAAAAAGGGATTTCTTAAGCTGGCTTCATGACCAGTCACTTTACACATGGGAAATAAGCAAAGAAAAGCTTTAATAGCGATGTTCCACATTACAGGATTCTTGCTACAATTTTCAGTTGCAATTCTAAATCTAGCAGTAATTGACAAGTAAAGGATTTGCTCATGGGGCACCACATTTTGGGGGGGGTGTGAGAATGTGTTTTAATTGTTTTTGTACAGTATGTAGCTTTCTTATAAACTGCCATGAATCCTTATGGAGTCAGTGGCATAGAAGTCTCGCAGGGAGAGTGGTAGGTAGCAGGGGAAGTGTCAATGGACATGTTGGCACCTACAGGTGTTGGGAAGGACTTGGAAGGTGTCTATTCAGATCCTCAGTCAGGAAAGGATCTTACTTGATGATCTAGGGGAAAGTCACCATCTCTAAACCTAACCTACTTCACTCCATTTCTGGGGGTGGGGGGTAATGTACATTGAGAACCATGTATGGTACTTGGAGCTCATGAAAAAAATGAGATATAAATGGAATACATAAATAAAATGCCAGACTGGTTGGATGGATCTTGGTCTAATCCCAACAAGCAGTTCTTAATCAACAGCCTCAGTATTCAGCTTCCCTTTGGGAACTGTTTCCACGCTTTGTCCTCTTGGCAACTGTGTGTGCTTCCTGCTCCTTCTCCCTTGGTTTTTTAAGATTTCTAATGGGTTTGCATTGCCCTTTTCCAGTTTAGCTATGGAGATGACAACCTGGCTCCTAACACCGCCAACATCCAGATGACCTTCCTGCGGCTCTTGTCTTCCGAAGGCTCACAAAATCTCACCTACCACTGCAAGAACAGCATTGCCTACATGGATGCAGCATCTGGCAACCTTAAGAAAGCTCTCCTGATACAGGGATCCAACGATGTGGAGATCAGAGCTGAGGGCAATAGCAGGTTTACCTACAATGCCTTGCAGGATGGATGTACTGTAAGTAGAAAGAAAGCAACCATGGCTTATTGGGGATGCTGCTGATTCTGCCTAATTAAGTGGCACCACCCTCATGCTGGAGAGCATGAAGTGGGAAGAAATCGCAGCAGGATTACCTGTGTAGGGCAAATTTCTAACAATGATTTTACGCATGATTCTAACATAATTTTTGAGCTCCAGTCCTGATGATGATTTATTTACTGAAAAAAATGGGCTATTCTACAGGTATATCAAGAAAGTAAATACAAATACTACTCTTCCCTCATATTTACTCAAAGTAACACAATTCTTTGATTCAAGGGCATCAGACCATAGTGGGAGTACCAGGATTAGCTTGGTGGCCAATGAAATGGTCACCATCTGTGCAACACAGATTTCCATTTCAGGCAAGGAACTAGTTAGATTTTGCTGGCAGCTGAATCATTCTGGGTGAGCGTGTAAGCATTCCTGAGAGTAGGAATCTTTTAGTGAAGCAAGCTTTATAACTATAACAGAATGGTGATTTAATTACAGGAAGTTAATTCTAGGGATAGGCAAAGCCTAGCACCAAGCAAGCTACATCCCACCAGGAGGAGTCGAAAGAGCATGTGTTCTCTGTATATATGTGCACGGGAAAAAGACAGAAGATGTGATCTCAGATTAGAAGTTTCTTAGATAAAGAGAGACAGACATGGAAAGGACACAGAGCAAATCTTAACTCTCTATCTACACTCTACTGCCTCCTTGTGCTAAGGTATCAGTACCACTGAGTTTACACTTCCAATATAAAAAGTTGCATCTCAAACTTGGGTGAAACTTAAACTGGATGCATTGTATCCTCTTATGGGCTATACTGCCAAGTTAATATTTGGAATGCACAATTGGGCAAGATATAGCAGGCCCTATCAGATTGAAAGGAGGAGGAGACACAATTCTGAATCTGGTTCTGCATAGAGGTCTTCTGTTGACCATATTATGTGCTCTCTCCCGCCCACCCCCAGATCTTCAAGTTACAAAAAAGGATTTCAAAGGTGAAATCTGCTATGATATATGCTATAGAATGCATACCTATTTAATTCATCAGAGCAGACAGGGTATAGGTATCCCATCTACCCACCCTGTCTGAAGATATAACTATTCAAGAGAACATTAGACCCTGAGCTCCTAGAATCCCATAACAGATCCATGAGCAAGTTGTGTGAGTTCACCCTTCAGAACTATATTGCAAGCTAAACAGGACATTTTAATTCCCCACTCAGATTTCTGAGATGATGATGCTACCATAAAATTTCACTGATTTGAGTACAGATATAGCCAGCCTAAGCCTCTTCTGCCTTCCAGATCTGTTGCATTATTATTCAAGTACCTCACTGAAACTGGAGTACAAAGCTCTTGAAATAATGCATCCTTGTATGTGTGTCTATTTTCACCATTCCAGAAACACACTGGCAAGTGGGGGAAGACAGTAATTGAATATCGATCTCAGAAGACCTCACGCCTGCCCATCATTGACATCGCACCTATGGACATTGGTGGAGCTGAACAGGAATTTGGTGTTGATATTGGCCCCGTGTGCTTTTTGTAAAAGGAAAAAAACCCCCCTAAAAATCAATATTTTTTTACCAACCCAAGTACTTCCCAATCACTTTTAGGACTTCTGCACTGAATGGCTAAACCAAACTCATCCCTTTTCCCAAAACCCTTTTGCTTACATTTTGGACTCTCCATCAGTTTCTGTGGTCACCATTGCTTGAGTAGATCACGAAGCAAGCAAAAGAAAGAAAGAAAGAAAGGAACAACTAATAATGGTATTATTTATTTATTGTCTTCCTAGAAGGCCTTTCTTGGGTCAGGTGGTGATAGGAAGCTCACAAGCATGTATGAAGGGTCCTCCCCTCCAAGTTGCTGATGTCCCCAATCCTGGTTGTAGCCAAATCTTCTCCCACCCCACCCTGAGTGTGTATCAAAGCAAGATTACTGTGTACGATACTAAAGATGGTGCTATTATTGTAAAACAAGTCTGTATTTTTTAACATCAATTGATATAAAAACCTTCGTTGGAAAGTAACAAGTTGATCTGATCATTTGTTTCGGTCCACTATTCTGTCGACTCCTGTCCCAACTTTTTATTTTCCTTTCTGTTTTATAAAATGAAATCAGTCATAGGGTCAGTGCTTAAACTTCCCTGGTATTCATGATATCTCACACTAGAAAACAAAGGCAAAAACTGCAAAATGATTAAGCCTTATATACCAGAGATGAGGTGTGCATGTTGGAAAAATACTGCCTTTCCACTCCCACAGATAAGTGATAGTGCTAAATTGTTCTCCTAACTTCAACTCCCTCATTTGGTAAGATGTTGCTGACCACCAGCATTTTCTCATCAGCATTGCTGAGGTTGGTTTGAGCAAATAAACAGTGTGCCAGCTCTACCTGACTGTAAGCATAAACTAAGCTTTTGAGTTATAGAGTGCTCAATTGGCCTAACCAAAAAAAAATTGTTTTAGAAACAGGGCAAGAAAGAACATGAAAATAGATTGCTTGATCCATGTGCCCAGTTTAGAAAAATGCAATATTTTCCCGTTGGTCCCATAAATACAACAAACTGGCAATTATTGTATTTTTCTAAACTTGGGCATGTTGATTAAACAAGCATACTGTCATGCTCTTTCTTGCCTGCTTCTATACTATGAAGAAATATAAATTAAGAGGATGGAAAGAGGGATTGATTTTGGAGCGTGAAGTGTCATTCTCTTGAAATGAAAGCATGCCTTGGCTTTCACATGTAAAAGTGTTTCTAAAACAAGTGAAACCTCTTGACACAATTACACACCTTCCTTTGTGTCCCTCTTTCTGAGCCTTCCCTGATATTGGCCAACTTTTCTTTCTGCTTTCCTTGCCATCTCCCCCTCCTCCAAATAAATCATCTTCCTTAAATTTGTTTGGTCCGTATTACTTTTCGCCCTCTGATGTAATCATGATTGAATGTTTATCTTCCCTAGGATAACATTTTCAAGGAAAATCTGAAAACACCAAAATTATTAAAAAGAAAAAGAAAAGAAACATAATTCTTATTTTGAAATTTTGAAATGAAAAAATTCCCTGCAACACATAGATACACCTGATCCTTGTAAGCCGTTTTCTTTTACCTGTCAAGAATGAAAGCATAAGCAAGCACCCTGGCTCATAAAGACTTTTTTAAAAATGGGTGAATTCTAGCCCAAGTAAAGTATGTTTTAAGGTCTGTTGATTTCAGTCTGAGGGACTTACGCATATGTTTAAAGACCACTGTTGAAAGGATTAGCTAGAAATCGATACTTGCAGTCTCTGCTTAAAATGTTTTGCTACTTACAACATCTACTTTACCCTTGAATCCTTGTCAGTCAAACTCCCATACCATACATTTCACATGGCAAGGGGATGAGAGCAATAGGTATGACCCTATTTTGTCCATGTGTGAAGACTGTAAGTAAAATTTTAAGTCTGTATGATAAAATGGGTTTTATCATAAAGAAATATCTAAACATTCACATGGAAAGAACTATGAAGGAGTCAATTGAACTCCCTGCAATTTATCACTTTTACAACCATTTAGGATTGAGCCGCCCGGAGTCGCCCTCTGGGGGAGAAGGGCGGCATATAAATTAAATAAATAAACCCATTAAACTAAGGTTCCTTATCCTCTGTTAAAGAAAAACAAAGTAAGGTGAGTTATACACTTAACTATTCCTAGATGAATAAAATATACCACAGACTGTGATGACAGACAGAGTATTGTTGTATTACTAAAAGACAATAGGCAATCATAGGACTTTTCTAGCATTGAAATGCATGGCAAAGGTCATCGTGATTTACCTTCCCCCCTATAGCCAACATGGCACTCTCCAGCTTGAACAACAAAGTCTGGAGAGAGTTAAAATGCACTTAAAGTATTGAAATCTCGAGGCTATAGAAATCCTGCCAGAAACACCCAGAAACTTAATGGTGCATGGCAGTTCCTGGTTTTGCTTTTATTACTGAGATCTATTAGATTACTGGAAACACAGTGAAGTGTTCTTCATATGTTTCAAACAGTTAATTTTTTTCTCAAGATTGCACTCCGAAGGTTAGATTCAAATTTAGTGTTGACCCTCTGAAATAAACTGGATTTTAGTTACATATGACTGTCTCCATTTATTTCAATATGCAAGTATGGCTAAGTTTAATTCCAACCCATAATTTGTAACAAATACAAAGAAGAAACACAGCCTTATTCAAAACAATAGAACAATATATCTTTAATCCACCACCACACCATTCTAAGTAGAACCCAACTAATGGCCAGAAAACTTTAAAAAGGATTAGAAGAACAATCCATCAGTCCTGAGAAATTTTCACACTGTATTAAGCATTAACACTCTGGCCACCACCTCAGTTTATCATGATGAATTCAAAACTCATAGCCCCATCTTTGGCAATTTGTGGGTGGGGGGGATGGCTTCATTAGCTGCCTGCTCCAACTTCAGGCTTTAACCTACTTCCTGAAGAGACTCAGATGCTGGACAGATCTGAGTCTCCATACGTCTATATGGGTCTTTCCAGCCCATCACAGGAAGGACTGGTCAATACCATCTTTGTCTTCTCTCCTTATAGGAGATTATGGCTAGCGATAATAGTTGTTACATTTCTCTGAAGATTCTTTTGGGCTAGTCCTTGTTTTGGATGTAGTTGGAAGTGTGGGTACTTTCCATTCTGTCTGACAAAGACTTCTGAAAGTATGCATACATTTTCCACAACACAGATCAATTTATCAAAAGTAGCACTGCAAACTATCATTTGATGGAAGCATCAAATGTTTCCCAGTTAGAAAACTGAAAAGAACCTTAACTTTGCAGATTGAGCACAGTATCAGGGATGAGTAATATTCTCATAAGGCCTGGCATCTGTTTGTCCTCATGTCTCCAGAACTATCTGTTTTGGTATAAACAGTCTCTCCCTTTGTGAGAACCACACAGCAGAATCTTCATTCACATGGATACCGATTCATGCAGAGTTAGGTTGGACTCACTTCAGTGGCGTGCCTGGGGGCAGTTGCCCAGTGCAGGCAATAAGGGGGCCGAAGACATGAGGCTAGCTGGGGGGATGGAGCTGGGTGACTGTGCCTGCACGCCGATCAGCTGTTTGGTGGTCAGCAGTGATGGAGTAAAAAATTTGACCCTTCAAGTCAGTTTTGACTCCTGGCAACTGCCCCCTGAAGTCTTCTTGGCCGCATTTTTCAGAAGCGGCTTGCCAGTTCCTTCCTCACTTTCTCTCAATTATCTTCCTTTAAACAAAACTAATCCTTGTCACTGTAATGCCCTTTGGACCATGAAGGGACCCATCCGTGGACTGTATAATAATAAGATGGAGCCTTTGGTGGGCTGAAACTGCTGATGCCGCGTTCCTGGGACACAGTAGTGTTAATGCCCTATTTCTAGAACTTTTCTGTCACCCAGTGTCCAGACAGGATTCTCACCTTTTTCCAATAGCCAAACACTGGCTATTGTATGATACCCCTTGCTCACTCTACCATCGTATTTGGACAGGGGAGACATAAAACTATTCCACCCTCCAAGATGTTCCTACTAAGCACCCTTACAGCTTTCTTCCCCATCACTCCACGACCAGAGAATCCTGCCCCATCACCTAAAAAGCACATTCTAAAGCCAAACTCTCAGCTTTTTCACCCGGCTCACATCATGTGCAAGGCCACAGGACTGTCTGGTTTGCATCAGAAACAAGAGCAAAGAAGGAATGGGGCAAAGTACCCTCATGCTTGGCCACATTCTGCTTTCTCCACATGGCCTGATAGGAACAAAAAAAAAGGCTTCTCTCACTTGGCTAGTGTGCATGTGTACATACAGAGGTTTGGGGATGAGAAACTCATCTGAGCTCAGAGCATATTCATTCCAGTCCTTTCTAGGATGAGGGCACCTTACTTTAAAACGTGCTAAAGACCACACGGGCCAGCAGGACTGAGGCGTCAACAAGCCTCACCACCAACAGCTGGATTGGTTTGCTCTAAAATTGCACGCCAAGCCTCCGTCCTTACATCTTAGCCTGCACGGTGGTGTTGCTGCTCCTCCTAGGGTCTTCCCCTGAGGGTGGGTGGGGCTGGAGGTGAGCAGCATTCTCAGGCAAAGGTGGACGATAGCGGTAGCGGTAACCATAGGCACGCAGATGGTAGGTGAGGTATTCCAGGGTGTACATCAAGTCTGAGTTCACGTAGTGGAAAGAAATGGCCAGGTCAGAGCAGCACTGAGGTCCCTGAGGAACATAGGAAAACTGGGGTTAATTGCTGAGGCTATAGTGCAGACCTACCCATAGCCACCGTAAGCTGGGGTGAGGAATGTATGAACCTTCAGATGTCACTGAACTGCTACTCCCAGCAGCCCTTGCAAGCCTACCAATGATGAGGTGTGCTGATAACTGTTCTTCAGTGATATTTAAATACCTAACTTTGTAGTTTGTGGTTTATTTAACAGAAAAGCAGATGGAACAACCCAAACAGCAGATGGGGAAGGCAAATATAGGGGCACTGGCTTAAAAATGTAGCAATATAGTGGCAGAGCCAAGGCTGCATAGCCCACATACTGTAGCCCACAAAATCCTGTGACTGTGCAAGTTAATTGTACAAGACACAGCATTCTGAATGTTGGGGCTATAAACAGTAACTATGACATTGTCTTTTAACAGCTGAAAATCCTGCTGAGTCCCACTACTGACAGTTAAAATTTCAGGGACAGCTCCTCGAAATTGTCCTCTGCCTTTGTAAAAGTTCAAATTTGGGGGTGCGGAGAAGTTAATTTCTGAGGACACTTGATTCTGAGCTAACTAATCTTAGATGGATGTATAGAATATGCAGCCCTAAATATTTAGGAAGAGCAAAGAGAGTGCTGCATCTCTTCTTTTGGAGAGCCACATTTTCATGGGACCATCATAACCTACAGTATGAAAACCTCCATCATTAATGAAGCCTATTAAATGCATAAGAATTACCGTGACTGATCAGCCCATGATTTGTGAAATATTTTTCTTATTGGCAGTGACCACGCAGATGTCCCAGTAATGGTACAAATACAAAACAATAATAATATCCACAGCCTACTGTAGAGTTACTGTATAGATAGTAGCTGAAAATGCTTTCTGCTAGCACAGAAAGCTGAATGCTTGGTTGCAACATGCCACCCTAAGAGCTTGCTGCAACACATTTTACAGATTCATTATTTCATTTGTATAAAAGAGTCTTGGGCTAAGTGGTGAGATGGTATCTAGCCCAGCTTTCACTATTGGTCTTGTTCACTGGAAATTTTGGAATTTAAGAATCCCAATACATTGGGATATAGAAGCCACTCTAATATCCCAAATCTCTATTCCCTGAATCTTTACGGTAGGAGACCTGTTTATATGAATGTGGTTGATTCTCAAATGATCAGGCATAAATGGAAAAACAAAATATGAATCCAGTAACAATGCCACTGAGAAATTATGGCCAATCCATTTCAGGACTACTTTGACATTCCTCCATGAATGATTTCAGCAATGTCCTACAAGTTCTTGAAAGAGCTCACAAGAGATAGCTGAGATCCCATGACATTTCTGTGATCTGAGGTAGGATGGGCCACTGCTGGGAGGTTTGGCAGGCTCTTGATTCTACTTGTTAAAAAAATCCCAAGAAACTATTATGTCAAGAAGAACATAGGTAAGAGTGAGGAACTTGTAGCTTCACCAGATGTGGCTGAACCACAACACTGAACAGCCTTGATGATCAGCCTCGCTGGTTTGGGCAGCTAGGGGCAGTGGTCCGTGAGATGTTGCAGAACCACAAGTTCCCTGCTCTGATATTACAAAAGCATTAAAAAACCCACACACATACGTGCAGAGTCATAAGTAATCTGGAATTGAACGTTTCCTGAAAGAGAGCAATTCCAGTTGGCTTTCTTCCATATCAGCTCACAGCAAGCATCAGCTAATCTCCAATTAATCACTTAATTCTCTAGGGTCACTGAATCCCAATTCCTCTACTAAGGCTAAACATATTTCTGGCATCTTTACCCTCAAATTCCTCACTTCAAATTGTTCTTTGGTCAGACAGTTTTATCCATGTGCCTTTCACATTTGTCTACTTACATGGGCTCAGTGATCCTTTTGCACATCCAGTGTATCCCCACCCCCATTCCTCCACTCAGGATGCCATCAAGTGATTAACCCTCCTAAGTCTACCAACTTCTCCTTAGAGGTATCATCATAGCTAAAGCTTGAAAAAGACCAGCTGGGAATGAAACAAATGCAAAAGAAAAAGATCATTACTCCTTCCCATATCCCTTTGTAGGAGAAAAGAATTGTAGGGTGAGATCTAATTGCTGAAAATCCTTCTTCTGGGCAAGTACAAAAAGTGCAAAAGCCAGCCTTCTGTTTCATCTGGCCACCCTACACAAAGAGAGGAAACGTGTTCCATCCACGACAGACCTGCCAACAGCTGGAGAAGCATCAGCAAAATGCATTAAGAATTGGCACAGAGAGTTGCTTTGATCTGCTACCAAATTGTATAAGTTTCCACCAGTGGGAAAAGAATACTTTTCTTGTGCCAAGAAACCTGTTTCCCTGATACCTGGCATCCTCAGCAACAACACATGAGCAGAAGAAGTTGTGTCAAAATGAATCAGCTACAATTTGTGAAGGGCCAAGGGGATTATTGGCTGTTCAATCCTTTGAGATGCAATTGTAGAATTATGTATCTGAAAGTATAATCCACTGAAGTCCATCAAGACTGCCCTCTCAGAATAAAGATGTGTAGGAGCTGGGGTTGTTAGGATGAAGATTGACCATCCATGAGCTGAGGCGTCCACTACAACACTCATTGATTTAACATATGGAGATCTGGATGGCAATTTGAATGCCATAAAATGTCTTATGGCTTGATCATTTTCCTCTCTTTACATGCCTCCCTGACTCATTCATTCTAAGAACAGGAGCAGATTGTGCTGACAGCTGAATCTTTCCTTAATACTGGCAATAGCCAGTGCCTTTCACTCCCCCTTGTCCCTTAGCATTTACCCTTCTGACATTGCTAATTCACACTACCTAATAGTAAGGCCAACCCCAGCCGAGGTGGATCATGAGGAATAGCCACCCTAGCATGCTAACAATGCTTTTTAAGAATGTGTAACTTCCCTTAAAAAAGCAAAAGAAGACAGAGTCTGCCAAAGGTAGGTAGCAAAACATTGAAAGCGAGCGAGGAAAAACATGGGCCATCACAGCGTGCGGCATACATGTACATTACAGAAAAACGGAACTTTGGTCAGACAATTGTAGAGGGACAGAATTCTGGCCAGAATAATACTCAGTTCCCCTCCATTTCTGAAGGTAAATCCTCCTAAGGGGTTATAAGTTTGATGTGGTAGAAGGGCTCAGTAGTTTAGTGTTCCCAATGGCAACATGTGAATGAGCTCCTAGTAGGGTATCTCTCACTGGTGAGGTTAAAAGAAGAGGGATGAAGCCAAGAATGGAAGAGAATACTACACAACAGAGGTGGGGCTCTGCAGATGGGAGGCAAGGCAACCCACACAGGAAAAGAAACCCCAGAAACCAACCTGGAAGAAGGTAGTGGCAAGCTATTTTTCTACTGTTGGCAAGAAAACCCTGTGGACATGCCCGAAACATTTAAACCCTTGACTTAGACGTAAGCAGTGAAGCTGTCCAACAGGACTGGAGAATCTGTGGTCTTTGAAATATGGCTGAATATTTAACCCCATTTGTCTCAGCAGAGTGGTCTATGGTCAAAACGATGGGAATTGTAGCACTTCAATATCCCTGGTTCCTATTCCCTGTTGTACAGCTAACTTATAGGGGATCTAGGGTGGGCAAAAGGGTCTGCAATAGCCATCCACAACCAAGAGATCCCAGATTCAATCTCAGGCACTTCTGAGCAGCACTGAGAAAAATTCTTGACAGAAAACCCTGAAGGAAACTACTTTCCCCTTTCAGGGGAAAGCTTAGGGTGCCACATACCTCCACAATAGGATAATAGCAATAGTTCCAGTACCAGGAGTTTTTTGAGACCTTCCTCATCAGCTGCTGCTCAAGCACAAAAGGGTGGAAGGTCTCCCTCTTCCTTGTGTCCCGGGAGTCCCCAGCCTCCACGCCCATCTTCTCCATGCACTGGCCCAGAGCCAGGTCCTCCACTGAAGACGTGTGGCTGCAGACCTTGGTGTCAAAGCCGGCAATGAAGCGCCGCAGGGCCTCCTTGCTCAGGACATAGCCCGCGCCCCCACTCATGTAGCCTTGCTTGCCAAAGACCCGGAAGCGCTTCCCAAAATAGATGGGCCTGTCGGGGGTGTAGTTGGAGAGCAGCCACCGGAGGTTGTCAAGCACCACAAAGGTATCATCGTCAGCCTTCAGGAACCAGTCGGCCTGCTCAAAGTGATGCTTGTGGACATAATGGAAAGCCCGGATAGTTTTCCAGTAGAGCTGGTCCCGGCCTTCCTTGGTACCCAGTCCCACAGTGGGGAAGTTTTTGTCCTCCACTGAACTCATGAAAATGGCCATGTTGCAATGACGGGACCAAGTGGCCTTGACGTGGCAGGCCTTCTTCTCCAAGTTTTGGGGGGCGGTCATCACCCAGCACAGAATCCGCACCTTGTCATACAGCTCATTTGCCACACTGCTTTCCTTGCCTGAGGAAGAGAGAACCTAAGGGTTACCATTTTTTTCAACAACAGGTCATCCTGGCTATAGAACTTGAGATATGTATTTACCAGGTATTGATTACAAATTTAATTTGTTCCTAGACCATGGTTTTGCAGCAGATTTTATTTGGGAACAACAATATGCACAATGCTATTATTTATTGCAGATATCAGATGCATAAGCTGCAAGGAGCAATTTCTCCTTGCAGCCAGGACTGTCTGATCCAGAAACACACTGTACTTCTCAGTAGGAGAATATAATTCACTCCATGATGTTCCATCAGCCAGCACAATCTGCTTGACTGTAACCACTTTTGACTGGACCATCATGAATTCTTTATACGGAGCATTTAAAATCGGACAAAAGATTAAACTGGGACTCCCACTTGATACTTAATTTGCTAAGTGTGATAGGCCAAAAAATCCACCCCAACCAACTAATCTGAAGTGAAACAGTCCAGCAATGAACACACAAGATGGATCACTACCACAATCCTACAAAAACATTGGATGTTTTACAAACATTTTCTCCTATTTATTTAGGCAAAAGCATGCCAGCAGTCTAGGGGAAAATGTACATATCCAGACCTATCTGGATGTACCTATGTACCAGGCACTTTTCAGATTTCTCCAAAAAACCTTTCCCAACCTGATGTCCTCCTCATACTTGGAACACAGCTTCTACTTCTTAGCCATTACTACTGCTATGGCAGTCTTGAAGGCACCAGGACGGGGAAAAGGGTTCTCTGGTACCCGGCCTTCTCTTCAGTTCTTACCTGCCCAGTGTGGGTATGCTGAACTGACAAGAGCTGATTTAGCAATCATCCTTTCAAGATCCTTGGAGCCATGTGGCATCTGGATGCCAAGGCGCAGGGATTCTTCCGTCAGGTTCTGCACAAGGTAGAAGATGCTGAAAAAGCCAGAAATGAGGCCTAGGAGGAAAGCCAAGGAGGAACTCTTGGAGCTCAATATCCCCATGCCATCTGGCTGTCAGGGATGGCAGACGGCAAGTGAGGATGCGTCACATAGCCTGTAGTAGGAAGAAAGCAGAATTAAGAGGAAGGAGCCTCTGTTGGTTGCCAACATTACTGTTACATCCCAGGGACAGGTATGCAATCCTATATTAATTTGCCCAACTTGTTCCGATCACCACTGACATCAAGCAAATCGGGTGCAAGTGCACACATGTCCAATGTGGATGTGCGTGGACTGTTATATGGTATTCCAGAAATCCATCATGCAAAGGGCTGAGTGGGTCCACATGTGCTCAGTTTTAGCATCTCTACAGGCTGCGACATCCCCAGGTTCTCCCTGGACCTGAGCAGCAAACTCTTAAAGAAACAAATGCCAACAAAAGACATCTGTCCTGGGCTATAGACCACAGATCGACAGACTGCAGAAGACGGCCGTCTAATTCCCCAACTTTACCTTCCATTACCTCGACTATGAATTTTATGAATTTTTAATGAAGGTTTTTAATATTACATGTATATGCTTTTATATTGTTGTTTCTTTGCTTTTATATTTTTTCTTGTTTTTTAAACTGTTCTTTTTGTATTGTTCTTTTGTTGTTGTTTTTATATTTGTTTTAATTATTTGTAAGCCACCCAGAGTCATATATGAGATGGGCAGCTATACGCATTTGAATAATGGAAGAAGGAAGGAAGGAAGAAGGAAGAAGGAAGAGGGAGGAAGGGAGGAGGGGGGAGGGGAGGGGAGGGGGAGAGAGAAAGAGAGAGAGAGAGAGAGAGAAAGAAAGAAAGAAAGAGAGAGAGAGAGAGAGAGAGAGAGAAGGACATCATCTGAAGCTAGGCTGGAAGGACAGAAAACGATCATAATTGGGAGCAGGCAGCTGGTAAACTGAGAGCAGTGTGGTGTAATGGTTAAGAAGCTGGACTAGGAATGGGGAACCCCTGGTCCCAGTCTACCCTCAGCCACCAACACTCAGTGCGTGACTTTGAGCCAGCTGCTCTCTCTCTCAGCCCAAGTGACCTCACAGGGTTGTTACTGTGGGGAAAAATGGGAAGAGGGAGCACTGTGTGCGCCACTTTGGCTTCTCAGTGACCGGTAGGATAGTCAATAAATAGCACTACAGCCTCCTCTAGAAACAGAAGAGGACCAACAACTAACACAGCAACTGGAAAAAGCAGAGCAGAGAGAGTCGAAAAGCAAGCACCAATGGAATCCATTCCAATCACAGAGGTCTGGGGACAAGACGAGGCTATCCAAGCCGTGGGATGTGATTGCTGTGGTAGCCACCACCACCCTGCCTTTCCTCACAAGCATTCCAGCAATGTCCCTCAGATGTGCTACACAAGCTGTTTTGGGCCCCCTAAACTACTTTGGCGTAGTGGTTAAAGGCACCAGGCCGGAAACCAGGAGACCGCGAGTTCTAGTCCTCCTTAGGCATGGAAGCCAGCTGGGTGACCTTGGGCCACTCGCTCTCTCTCAGCCCCAGGATGCAGGCAAGGGCAACTTCTGAAAATGTTGCCAAGGAAACTGCAGGGACTTGTCCAGCCAGTCACCAGGAGTCAACACTGACGGGAAGACACAAAAACCAACAACCACACTCACCTCTATTGCCTCAAGGATAGTACCGAATGCTATCTGAAATCAGCACTGAACATGGGTTTATTAGATTTAGTCTGTAATAGATACGTTGTTCTTTCTGATAACCCTTAATGGACTTTTGCTGATTAGGGTGGAGTAATGCAGCTTTAAAGATCTGTTTATAGAGAATGGGGTGGGATACGGGATAAAGAGATGGTTTGTTGTATTTTAAGAGATGGTGATAAGTTGTTAAAGCTATGTATACTTGCTGGGATGAAGGGGGAGGTTACTTTCTTTTCTTTTCTTTTTTCTTCTTTTTCTGTACTTTATTTTTTTATTTTTATTTTTTATTTTTTTATTTTTTGTAGTTTGTATTAGTTTTATCTGTATAAAATAATTTTTAATAAAATGATTATCAAAAAAAAGTGAAATCAGCACTGAAATAAGATTTCACAATCAGTGCAGTCAATTTCTGACTGGTGTAAGAAGCATTTACATCAGGCAGCAAAATGACTTTGGTCTGTCTTTCCTGAAAGCTGGGAATTTTTTTTTTTTTTTAGATTTTTTATCCCGCCTTTCTTATTTTTATAAATAACTCAAGGCAGTGAACATACCTAATACTCCCTCCT